ACGTCAAAGGTGCCGCCTCCCAAGTCAAAGACCAAAATTGTCTCGTTATTCTTCTTTTCCAGGCCATAGGCCAGCGATGCTGCTGTAGGCTCGTTCACAATACGCAGCACATCCAGTCCGGCAATCTTCCCCGCATCCTTCGTGGCCTTCGCACTTCATTGACGGACTTGAAACGGAGAAGTCTGAGAATCATACAAATTGTGACTAAGCCAAGGATTATGACATTATGAGCATCTATTCTGACAAAGCTTTCGACTTATAATGCTTCGACTTCTTGGCGGCAGAAAAGGATGTTGCCATGAGTCATGATTGCACCGCTACTGAAAGAACATGAAAGAATCGCCAAGGAATGCAAGGAAGATAACTTAACAATATCCTATCTCCTGAGACATGTCTGACACTTAATTGATCTTAATGTTTAAAAGTTGAGATACAGCAAACTCCCTGGACTATGGATGCCACATTCTGTCACAGTCGCTTTGGATAGCTCAGTCATTTCTAGCACCCTGCAGTTCTTGAACTGACTTCGCGAGCCGCGTGTGAAAGCCTCGACCTTTTTAGCCTCCGCCCACTCCCCCGCTCTGCTCAATCCCCTCCACTCGCGGCACTGTTGGGCTTTCCCCCCAACCGTTCGGTCGGAGGGTTCGACCACGACCAGGACGGCGAGGACGCGAAGAGCTGAAGCACCACGACGGGGGGGGGTTCCCGCGTGCGGTGTGGTGGGCGTACGGTGCTTGGCCCAGTCATGCGGTCCTCTTCCAACCAACGGAGGGAGAGCGAAAAAAGAAAAAAGGACCGCGAAGGAAGAACGACGGCCAAGGAAGACCGACTACCTGCAGAGGGTAAGTTCAACATGAAATCTGAAATTTGCACCTATTTGATCCTTCCTATTTTATCCTATTTGTACTGAAAGGGTAGTCTCTATGTTCAACTTGGGGCAACTTCGCTCCACCGTTCCTCGTCGGTCGACCGTTCGAACTCGTCCCTCCCGCCTGGCGCTGGGAGTCGTTGAAGTATGCCGGGACCGTGACGACCGCCTGGCGTGAGACGCTGGGAGGACGCCGGCTGTGTGGGTCGAGTTCGATGTCATCCGACGCGGCCCAGGCGCAAGAGGGGTACCGAGGTGTTCGTGGGCATGATCCATGTGCGAACACGCACACCCCGAGGTCACAAGCATTGGCACGACAGAGATCGCGAAAGGAATAGATCGCATCGAATGATTTGTCGAAGAATTGACTGCGGAATTTGAACACCAGGGAGGTCAACTGGTTTAGGGCTGTGCCCACTGCCAAAGGTTGTCAAACACTAGTTGTTCAACTTGCTCGCCTTCTGGACATTGGCGCTCAAGTACTTTCCAGCATCAGCACTTAGCTTTCGAAGCACCTGTGCAGAGACCTCCTCTGGGGCAAACTTCTTGTTCATCACGGGGCAGTCGATCTTCACTTTTTGCCCTTCAAAGTCCACCTTGTAGGACACCTCTTTCAGCTCCTCCTTGACTTCATCGGGCTGGCGACCAACAAAGCGCTTCACCGAGTAAAAGGTGTTCTCAGGGTTCACCACAGCCTGCAGATCGTTTTTCGTCACATGAAGTCACAAGAATTGCACACACTTGTTGCTGGTATTACTGTGTGATCAGTCTAGTGAATCGAACCATCCCAAGCCACAGTCAGACTCGACACACAGTCAGCCCCCTCCTGACGCTTTGCAATCTGGCCGACTAAAAGCTCACTGCTCTTGGAGTAGGCTACGACGCTGGGTGTAGTTCGGGCTCCCTCGGCGTTGGGGATCACGGTGGGAGTTCCAGCCTTGGGGATCAAAGAGTCACTATAGCATCATCACAATCATAGTATTGTCCTGCTACACCATTAAGGCAGGAAAACGGATCCTTTCGCATCCAAATTCAATGAAAGTCTTAGTTCCAAACCTCCATGGCGGCCACGGCAGAGTTGGTCGTGCCCAAGTCAATTCCAACCACCTTCTCACCCGGTGCCACTTCAGCACGGGCAGCGACCTCGCCGCGGCCCGACGTTTCTACAAGTAAATGTTCAAATGCAACCACTCCATACAAATCACAGAGAGCCCGGCTTTGGATGGGCGATACTTTCTTCGCGTAGACGCAGCCACTGCCCCAGCAGCTGTTACAGCAGCTGCGCCGACAGTGAATGCGCTGCCTAATCCGCTGAGAATGCCGAGAATGCACGGTGTTCAATACACTCCAAGTCTTTACTGCCACAAACACTCGCCTGTCTCGACACTTGCACTCGCCTGCTAGCAGCTACTTGACCAGTTCTGGAAGCATCAAAGCATTTTGTATAACCAACTGCAACCTTTCAACTTGTGAATGCTGATACGCCCCGGTTACAGCCTTGGCCATCCCCTCTGGGCGGAGAAGTTCAGCACCCTTCACACCGTTCAGTGGCTTTTGCATGGCCACAAAACTGAGCCTCAGGGTGAAACGCCGCAGTTTCCAGAAAAACAAGCTGTATCAAATGGCTGCTGTTGACCGATGCCTTTGCTTACATGGCGTCAAATTGAAAAAAAAAAAGTCTCCGATGGATCAAATGGCGTCAACAGTGGGGGCTGACACAGGGTCAAGTGAGCGACGCCATGCGGTCCAACGGCACTGTTCACCCATCCAACGGCATGAGCTGGTGGGGAGGATGCCTGGTGTTTCTTAAGCTGTCCGGGTCCGGATTTCAAGGCAGAACGTGAAGCTACTTGGGTACAACCTCCGATGGCAAAGATCGAACCTCCGATGGCTCTCTGTGTGCATCCACGAGCAAGCCAGAGAAGCAACCATGGATGCGCGTTCGCTGTGAAGACTGCTTCACCTACCTTTCTGAATTGGTCTCCAGCCACAAGCTTGTTGGACTGTTGGACATGGCTACGGCTCTGCAAGTGCTCAAGCAAATCGAAACAAAAGCGAAAACACTATCAAGTCCGCCTTTCGGTTCATCTTTCGGCACAGCAGTTTCGGGGGCTGGCACCAAACCCGCACAAACATCAACCTAGATCATTGCATCAACCCTTTGCGGATGGTAAGCACTTGTACTCTTTTAGTGTGAACCGCCACCTCTGACCTTCACCAACCTTCAACCCAGACGCCCGAAATCTGCCAAAGAGCCAACCCAAAGCCACCAAGCAGACCAAGCACACCCTCAGGCTCCCTGAAGCCTTCCGGATGTGCTGGCGACGAGACCTCCCCCATATGCCACACTCCCCGAGACTTCCTCAACCCAGCACCGAGATGCGTCGAAAACACCCGGCCGCACCGAGCCACAAGTCGCTGGATCAAACGCTGCGGCGAGCGGATCGGGTGTGGAACAAATCGGCCTGGGCGCCTGTCTGAAGAGCGTATGGATCGGATAGGCATGGATAGATAGGTCTATGGCTCCAGTGGCGGTGTTTTTCACACAACTCGACCACGTGGCAGGGCGCTTTTGAGCGGTTCTGTCACAACGACATGGCTTCCGCGAAAGCTTCCGCAGCACCTACGCGACCGCAAGTTTTAGAGTACTCACGCGGAGGGGTTGCTTATGCCACTGTTTATGCAACCTTACGCTACTGGAGGTGTTGCTTATGCACCTCGATATGACAATAAGGCCTCAACGTCAGGCGTGCGCCGAATCTTGCGCAGCCCTTACGCGACCACAGTGTTTGCTCTATTAAGAATAGGGAGACGCCCCCGAAACCAGTGTTGCCCGCTCCTTTGGTCTAATCATATCTTTGGAGGGAGGCCCCCAGTTCAGTGCGACAACGGACTTGCAAGGCGCCGAAAAATAAGGCCCACACCCACCCAAGCTGGCACATGCCACAGCTGCAGATCTGACCTTCTTCGGTGCCATCCTTGCGGTCTCATTCACAAGTTCGGCTCAAAATGCAAGCACCAAATGCACCACTCTGAGTTGTTCACTCACAAACCGCTGGAAAGCACCCAAAAATGAAGAACAGGTCCAATTTGTGCTGGTCAAACTGCGGGAATGCAATGCAGGCTAGATTCAGTCTCGGATGCTCCAGTAGGATGTGCACAAATAATGACATGTAATGCAATCAAGTCTTTTCGGTTGCGCAATTGAGACTTCCTCCGGAACTTGGTCTCTGTAAGCCATGAGGTGTGCATTCTTCAAGCTCAGTAGGTATAAGTCATGTAAGGATTCTGATTCAAGCAGGAACAAGAGCGTGAGCCTACACGAGCATGAGAAAAAACCGGACATTAGCGTCTTGGACAAGCCTGACATTCTGCAGAACACAATGCGGCGGTACACTGTTGTTCCCTCCAACTCCCTACTTTCGCCCAAGGACTAAACACTGCATGCGTCAACGTCTGAGCTTCAGGTGTGTGGCAGCTGACACGTCGGCTGCAAATAGAGTGGTTTCAGAGGTTCGATGGCACAACCCCCAATGCGCTGAGAATGGTGGCGTAGTCTTGATCTTGAAATATATACAGTATATATATATACATAGAGAGAGAGAGAGATTGATATTATGTATATATACTCAAAAACGATCGACATACTGCAATTCTGTGTGTGAAGAAGGACAACAAACATTGTCCTTAATATTTGTTAGGATAGCAAATGTTGTTTGGATGTCCTTGCTCATCGTTCAAATTACTTTATACAATATTACATATAATATTACATATAACATAAAGTAGTATAATTGTACGATGTGTTAGTTAAAGTTAAGCTATTGATTAGTGCATATAGCATATTGTTAATAGTATATTCTAAATAATACTATATAGTTTTTTGTTTTTTTTAAAGTGGCAAGCCTGGACTGAAGGGAGTTCCAGCGTCTTTCTTTTCGCTTTGTTGCCTCTGCAACGATTTGAAACTGAGGGCAGTGCTTCCTTTGGATGAGCAGGAATTGCAGCATACATGCCTCACCGGGGTACCGCGGTCTTCAAACACATTGGACTATACCAGGGATCTCAAGCTAGCATGGCTGCCAGCGGTTGTGCGGATCAACATCTTCAGATCGAACAGAACTTTTTTACCGCGACCCGTCGCAAGAACGTAGGCCTCAAAGCACCTTTGAGGAAGTCGCAAACCAATCCCATCCTTAGTTGATCCGGCAAAACCAATATGCTACTAATATGCCACTCCAAGAACCAATATGCAAAACCAATCCCATCGCAAGAACCAGCCTAATCTGCGACTTGATTTCTACCGTAAGGTACTAGCCTCTAGGCCCTAGTAATACCGTGTGACTCCCACAAATCTCTCGCACTCTTGTAACTTTTGAAAGCTCTCAAGACCAAAACGTTTCTTCTCAGGCTTTGGGCCAAGTTGCACATACGCTCCACCTGGAATGTAGGATATGAAGAACCTGAGGACCCCAGTGAGGACCGCGGCCCGGTTTTGACTCCGTGGTAAATGAAAAAGAAAAGAGGGACGTTCCGGTACAAAACCCAATCATCAAATCACCGGTGTTCATGTCTCTCCCTCTCTCTCTCTCTGTGTATTGGAAGCTTTCAAGATCGTTGAATCAAGGGAAGCGAATCACCCAAGCTTCCCACCACAGCAAGCTGCTGATTTGCGCCACAGAGAAGACCTTGGACTCCCGCCATCAAGTTCCAGATGTCGATAGATCAAGCGCGGTCCCCGCTTTCGGCGACGCAAAGCGCGTCAGCTCCATGCTCACACCAACAACCACAGAACGCTTTATACATGCGACGTGGAAGCTTCATCCCGAACGCCCCCCACCGGTGAAGCTTGTTTAACCACAAAGTGAAAACCGGTGCTTTCTCACCAAGTTGGGTAGCCCTGAGTTTCTTCGGATGTGTGCTGCCAGGCACTGCTCCTCTTGTACAGGGCGGGCCCTCTTCGTCAAGGCCCCGGCGATCGTGAGCAGGGCTGACCTGCACGCGGGGTCGTCTTTGGTCAACATCTGAATAAACAAAAAAATGCAATGCATGCCTAACTTGTGTAAACATGTCAAACTGGTGTTTTTGCTCTGCTTTTCGTTCAAAAAGTGCTTCTGTTTTGTCTTTATGATGTACGGTACGACATTTGATGTAACGAGGTTCATCAGCAGATTGGATCACCAAGGATCAATCACCAAGGATCACCCACATGCAGATTGGTCCAGCCATGCCGCACGGGTTGCACGGGTTGCCATGCAGATTAGTCCATGCGGTCCATGCGGTCATGGCTTGCCTCGCCGTTCCGGCAAGCAGTACGCTATGGCATGGTGGAGTTGGATGAGTCAATGAAGATGTATTCATATGTCCCCCTTACTTGTGCCTTGGGAGTAACATTGTTCAGGTGTGGAGGACATTCATATAAATATGTATTAATACGTATTCAACTGGTCCTGTTGTTTTTCACCTCAAACTCGTCGCCTGCATCTAAGGCGTGGCCAGCCTGCATCTGGTAGACCAGTTGCGGCGTTCGCAAAGGAAATCGAGAAGAACTTCGTGACTGGAGAAGTCCACCGGAGCGAGCGATCGCTGCATCTGCATGCTGGCTCTCTCTCTGGGGTGGGCACCGATCCAGATGAGGCGGAAGCGATTTTTAGTGCTGCGACCGGCGGTTCCGCTCGCCTATGCGTGTGAAACGCGCCTTCGACGATCAAAAATACCATGCCAAGCGCTTTCATAGCTGCTTGAGATGCGTAGGCCACATCCTTCACTACCCGGTTCAGGTCGTCTGACCCAAAAAAAAAGTCAAAAATGAATGAAATGTTGATGTTTCGATGGTTCAGAGAGTCTCTTCAAATACGAGGAGCAAAGAATACGATATGGTGACAACGTCTTTGAAGGTTTGTGCACTGAAAAACGACGAACAATCCATCCCTCCAAGTCCGGTGTCCACTGCTACCGCCAACCACACCACTGCTTCGTCCCATGAGAGTGCCGTCGACCGTCACCGTCGACCGGCACGGACGGCCGCCGACAGCCTGTACCACATCGAAGCCCAGAGAGTGCCAGCCATGGAACCCAGAAACCTACAGCGAACACGAGGAATTGACCGGCGCCAGCATCGGTCGACTGCTTCGACTGGTCGACACAGACCAGTGACCCGTTTCTGGTGGTGTTTTGTGAAAGTCTATCAGATCAGTGAATGGAAAGTCTATCATAAAACCAGATTAGCTTCTTGTTACTAGTAGCTACTTGCTCCTAGTAGTACGGCCAGGAGCCCCGTTCGTAGCGTCCGATCGCTCCGTTCGTAGCGATGCCAGGAGCCCCGTTCGAAGCGTCCCTTTGTTCCGTTCGTAGTAAAACCAGATCTGTCTCAAAACCTTGGGGTTCCGGCCCGATCGAGAGAGGCCGCCGCTCTGGTGTGGTCAAGTGGGCCAGGAAGGCCTGCATGCCCTGGGAGGCCAGGCACATAAGGCACATATATATAATATATATATAATATATAATATAATATATATATATATATATACTTACAGTATATGGTACCTACCTTTGAGTGGTCTTTAAATGGTACTTGCCGTCCTTTCTGAACGTTGTTCGGGGTAGGATTTGAGGGCTGCATGTTGTTTGTTCTTGGGGGTACCATGTATATATGTATATATATATATACACACACATGTACATGCAAATGAAACATGTGCCACAACGACACAGAAATACTTAGAGCATTTGGTATCTGGGTCCCATTGCAACGATTCAAGATTTCAGGAAAGAATTTATGAAAATCCTGACTCCTGACCAACATGCATCTTAAATCATGGATTCTGTTGAATCTTGAATCCCATTGCAATGCGTTGCAATGAGTTGCATAATCAGCACACCGAGTTTCACATACAGTATATCGTTTGAATGGATAGCTCATTGTCAACCTTTGTGTCGTGAAGTTTGTTGTGACCTTCTTAGCTTTAGTAATGCGATTGCAACAGCACCAATGAACATGTGTTAAACACTCTATTTTGCCCGTGTATTCCTCACATGTATCTTTAAAAGCTGGTTCCCATATTTGTATAGACTTACCGGTTTTGTTTCAAACTCCTTGCTCTGGTGCCAGCATACCACAGCCACTCACCGCTTACTAAGCCAGCTCTTTGCCATTCATGTATGGTAACGCTTCACTTGTTGATGTCCCCTACTGTGACAGGTTGCACAGGCAAAAGATCCGAAATGCGTTTCTGCCACTTTCTCACTCACAACTCTCACATGTTTGTATTGTCATCATACCAACGTTCACTTGTAAAACCACAACTGAAAGCAAAGGATCTATGCAAGAAACTTCAAACACTGCCAAATACCAGGGTATAAATCAGAATCCAATCAATGCCTCCTTACTCCATTACATTGTCTTTCCTTTCTCATGCAAAACACCTCTTTGACACAAGAAACCCTTCGCAAGGGATTCATAGAGATTCTATTGGTCAAAAAGAAAGAGATTGGAGTATATACACTTAAAAGACTTATATAGTCATTCCATTCCAAATTCTTGTTCATTGAGATGTGTGCTTTGGCTCTTTTCTCTTAATCTTCTCGGTACAATACTATTCTCATAACTTGTTGCAAATCTGTTCTGGTAGCACAAAGCCCCTATTCCACATGAATATCTACCAGCGACTACAATCCCTTCATGGAAGACCCTATTGGTTATATAATATATATACACATTATCTTGACAAAACTTGACAAAACAATTCATCCAAAAGTATCCATATCTGCTCGGTTGACTTTGGGCAGGCGACTTACTTTGGGCAGGCAGAAAGTTGCCCGAAAGAAAGCATGTATCATGTGAATCGATATGAACCTTTACTCGCTTTTTGACAAGTCCTGTCGGAGAATTTTGAACAATCAACAACCTTGAAACAAGTTTTGCTTAGCAATCACATTGTTCTTGAAGGTTGTTGAGAATGAATCAAACACAAAGGGGTTAGACGGTTAGACTGCATTTGTGCTACAATTGTCCGGGCGCGGCGTCATGACACTACACGCCAAGAAGGTAGTTGGGTACATGGGGTGGCAGCATATGTGTCTATGTGCGCTATAGGGTGCAAATGATTTAAGTACGAGGTCCTGAAAGGCAAAGCAAAGCTTGAATCAGCAAAACGCGGGGCCAGCCTTGAGGGAGCACAGCGCTCCAAGTATGCAGGCAGAGCCCGTGGTGAACACAAAGGCAAACCTGATGGCACAGCACATCGTATCTCCAAACTAGTGAACTACAAGAACTTGGCATTCTCAATGGATGGCTACAGGGAAAATCTGTAGGAAACCATTGTTTTCACCCCGACACCTATGGATGTCCCGTAGAAAGCCGCGGCGCTTCGTCCTCGCTCTGTGTCGCGCGTCCTCGCTGTGTCTCGCACCGCCAAGGAGCTTTTGAGGTGCGAGAAGCAACATGGGCAGCGAAGCAAAGGAAGCTGCCTGGTGTTCCACACACACAGCATGGGCATATGTTGGGACTCCCCCAACACCCGGTGAACTGTCTGAACTGACCCCTTCACTCCCCACACGGCCATCCCCACTTCGCGGATCTTCGCATGGTTTGAGAAGGTTGACAACTGGTGTTATACTTTGAGAAGAAAAGGGAAAGGAAATGTGGAGTAGCTTGAGAACATTCAAAAGCAACAGGACTCTGAACATGCTGCAAGGATGGTGGTCAATAGGCCTCAACGGCAACGGCGCGGACCGACTCCTTCGGTTGATCGTGTTTCTGGGGCCAACGGCCATCAGCAGCCCACCCAAAATGAGCAAGACGAAGAAAGTGATCCACCTTGGCTTTTCGATGGAACACATGGGCAAAGTAAAACCGATTCAGCTACAATGATTCATCGAATCTGAGTGGACGGAGTCCGCTTTCTGAGATTTGCCAAGGTGCGCTTGCGTGCTTATGGTTGCAGCCTGTTCACATATCTCTTCACAGAGTTGCAAATATCAGCTGGAACATGCGAGTAGAGCTGCTAACTGATTTCGCTTTGACTACTTGGCCAGATCGAAAGCTCTTTGCGATTTGAAAGCTTAAGCTCATGAGGTCTCAGTCTCTGCCTGCATCGCGAATCCCATGTGACCACCAATGGCCCCTCCAGCTCGTTCTGCAACTCCTTTCATGCCTCAACTGGTCAATCTTTGGGTGCCCATACGTCCCAAGCAGAACAAAATACCATCCAAATGGATACTTGAACAATGCCACATGGAAACATGCTGCCGCCCCTGAGTGGCGCAACTCTGCTGGGCATAGTTTGCATAGGCAATCAAACCCTCGCACAAAGCTGGACATGTGAATCCCTGATGGGATCTTGAATGTCAGCATATGCAACACCTGCGATCTCTAGATGACCTACTTGATGGAAAAGCACTTCCAATCTCACAGTGGCTTCATGCAACAATCTCGATGGATTCTGCTCCATGACATGCGGATTGGGCAGTTTTTGGAAGCTCTGTCTATTTTCGATCCCGGCCGCAAGGAAGACCCAGCATTCTGTGTCACCGAAGCAAGCTAATCTAGCTTGAACGGTTGACAAAAGAATCACCACTCTCCATGCACCACATTCATTCTGCTGGACATTGAGAGTAGACATTGAGAGTAGAAAGTTGCAGGCTTTGGGCGGAGTTGGATATACATGTTTCCCTTGAATACTGAGCAATCGTGCATGATGGTGATGGAAGATCTGCCACCAGGGCAGCATCAAACAGCTCTGTGTCGTTCCAGACAGCTTTGGTTCAGGCAGCTTTGGTTCAGCTTTAGACTTTAGAAGCCACGAACGATCACAGGCTCTCCATTTCGATTTCGCTCTCCACTCTCAGGAGCTCTCTCAGCTACCGACCTGATTTCGCTACCGAAGCGCTGTCTGTTAACACAACAATCTGGCTTTGCTGAGGGGAACGCTTGGCTCAGTGTCAGGGCAACGACTGGACACTCGTATCCTTTCAAACAAACTAGGGCACCAGAGGTGCCGAAAAAGTAGGAAGGGCTTGCAACGAGCCCAAGGGCAGGATAAAAAAAAAAGTCATTTTGCCAAGACTCTTCAGTGAGCATCATACTTGACCTTGCTGCTGTAGGTGCGCCTGGCAGTTAAGGAACTATATCAATCTGCAATGTGTCATTCTTCCCCAGTGTCCAGTGCCTTTGTGGGCAGTCGGCTGGTGGCTCTTCCAATTCTCGCAAGTCATCTGCTTGGGGTGTTGGTGCAAGACACTGCAGGATGCCATCCTTTCTTACGATCTATGATGTGATTGCTGCACTAGAGGCCGATGTATGATGTGATTGCTGCACTAGAGGCAAAGCCAGCAAAGGCTGGACATCCCAACATGAAAGGAGCAAGACGGGACCAAGATTACCTTTCTTGCTGCTAATAAGACCCATTCATGCGATGTGGAGGCCATCTCACTGGGCGTTCAGTGGTTTAGATTGGGCAAGCACTGTACAGTACTAGCTAATGGCATCTAATGGCTAAGTCACCAGTCAAGAAGAAGCCCAACAAGCAACCACGGCACAATGGTGTGGTGTAAGTTATACGTACGAATCTTCATACCCTGCATGTGTTTGTACCGTTCGCGAACCCGACGCTGACCTGTCGACCTGATCGGCGGTGGGCCGGGCCTTTCCATCGCAGGTACGGCGTGTGGCACCTCATCGAAAGGATGTACCAGTAGCCTAGTCGGCCCGGTCGACCAAAAGCGTACCTGTTGTACATACCTGTCCCTCGGTAGCAATATCTTGTACAAATGCACGCAGGCTTTCCGGTTTTCCGTTCGCTCACTGGGAGGCTCTCAAGTCCGGAAACACTCAGTCCCATGCCCGCAGTGGCTCCTTTGACCTTCCTTTGCCTGGAAACAGCAACATGATTTCTGCATCCAAACGTGTGGCCATGCATAGTACGTGAGCCTGCGAAAAAAGGCATGCGAACATCTTGCAAAACCCATGCAAAACCCTGCAATCCGGAGCAACAGCATCGAGCAAAATCATGAAGATCCATGTCTTCCGGTCGATGGTCGCCAACGAAAAGCTGCACCTGCTCCCTTGGACTTGCGCACCAAGAAGGCCTCACCGGTCGGAATTTTCAGGTCAGCCGCAGGCCAGCGAGCGAAAGAAATCGAGAAGAGCCAGCCTTGCCAGAGGCCAACTTGAAGAGATTTTCCACCTCATTTCACCGTCCGACATCTTGACAACAAGGTACCATGATGTACCATGCCGGTTTTGACGCAGTTGAACCTAATTCAACCGTTGGACTCGCTCCCAGCAACTTGGCAAGAAAAACAACAGCGAAGACAGAATGATCAACATGATCCTCGAAATGAACTTCCTCTCGTGTAGGGAGAAGAAGAACCTCAAATTTCATGGACGAAGCTTGTTTCGTTCAAGATGCACTCATGTATCCTAAGAGATGTCGGAAGACATGAACAATCTGACCTCGATGTTCGGACTGGACCTCAGCGGAACGACGGTCGACGGACGACGTTTCCGACCCGGACGTAGACCGGATCGGCGCGACGGACCGCTTCTCGCTGGCGGCCCCAGCGGCGTAGAGCTTCCGTGCGGAGGCCGTGGCACCCTGGGCCGTGCACCGGGCACTTTGCGCCTGGAAGACTTTCACTTCCCGCATGCTCACCGTCTTCTCCTCGAGAGGAGAGGAGGTAGAGGTCGAGGTAGGTGGGAGTCACCACTAGTCACAAGTGTCACAAGTCAGAGACGGGTTTTCACATGTTTTCACCCTTCCAACAAGTCAAACGCGTCGCGAAGAGGAAGAAAGCCCTGATCATGATCTTGTAAGTCACCCTCCGGATGGCGTCTTTTCGATTCTTCGGAGTCATTCGTTGGGCTTCGATCGCCTTCCATGACCCGGCCCTGTCACTGCTGACAAGATCGATGGTCAAACAGGATTCATGAAATGGATCCCCTCAAACAAGTAGGATCAACGGCTTCTCATGGTATCTGTCTCTCACTCTCTCTCTCTCTCTCTCTCAATCTATGGACCTCGGAATGGCACGTATACGGCCACCTCTAAAGAATCGGACCTCTTCTTGGCTCTAAGAATCGGCAGGTAACGGTTCCAGTCCTTGCTCTGATGTGTGTAGAGGAGTCTGGCCAGGGAAATACGCTCCTCCGCGTTCTCCTCGCTCGCTGCGGAAGGCACGCACCGGGGGGGGGGGTCACTGGACTGAAGAAACGCGGCCCCATCCGCGTGGAATCCTTCGTCGCATCGGCCCCTTGCCATCATCGCATGCAAGAAAAAGGTATCACCCAGCTGTTTGGGCGATCGCCTGTTTCGAATGAGTCCTGGGTCTCACAAGTTTCTCAAAGTCCAAGTATCTGGTGCCACCAGCATCTGCACAGACCCATCACTGAGCTTCTCAGTGATTAGAGTGGTGCCCTGGTCTGTCTCGAGGACCAAGAAGTAGTGGCAGTGATCCTGAGAGAGAAGCTAAACGAGCTGCAAGTTGCAGTTGCTGCCAAAGTCAGGTGGCTACGGCTGAAGTTTTAAAGCTTCAAGAGAGAATTTCAACGCTTGTTGGTGTCTCCACCGATCAGTTTGCTTCGTACCATCTTTCCCGCACTGTGACGCTGTCTTTCGGCACCTGAGCCCCCGGACCATCTTTTGGCTGCGCCAGGGAGCATCAAGCTCCTCTTTGGGCTCAGCTGCGCTGCCCTGGATCGACCTGAGTCTGACGAGTCTGACGACGACGGCGGGTGGGGTGTGATGTCGCGGACGCGCGTGAAGTCGCGACGATTAGCCTATCAGGGCCTATCAGTCGCGACTGTGACGATTAGCCAGGGAAAACTCTGCAATGCTGCAATGCTTGTGTGAGCCGGCTTTGGATTTTTGTGCCTCAGCACATTGATTGAGGATTTGAAATTGGTGTTGAGGATCTCAAGAGCAGAATCGCGCGCGCGATCTGTTGCCATTCGATCTGTTACGCATCGATGAGCTCTTCCCGGCATGATCGGCCAGGAAGAACGTTCCATCCAGGAATTGCTTGGCACTGGGAGACCACTTAGCACAGAAATCTTCATGATCGGCCATGGTCGGCCCAAACCGGACTGAAGCTTTCGGAGCGGCAGTCTCTTGAAGCTTTCACACTGAATGAAGAGATCAGAGGGGGGGGGCCGTTTGAGATGGGAAGGCTCAAATCCCCTTTCCGAATCCTTCCGGACTGATGGCGGATGACGCCAAGTGCGGCATAAGCCATGGCTTCCCACTCCACTGCGCCATGCTCCACTAGGCTCCACACATCGTTGGGTAAGTCTAAAGAAAGAAAGGAAAAGAAAGGAAAAGAAAGGAAAAGAAAGGAAAAGAAAGGAAGAAAGAAAGAAAGAAAGGAAAAGAAAGGAAAAGAAAAGAAAGAAGGGTCTAAAGGTCTGAAGGAAAAAAAGTCCAATGCCAGCCTTAAGATGTACCTTCCGTTTCTGCGCAGCTGCTCGGCTCCAGTTCTCTTTTCTGGAGCGGAGCGGCGACTGACTCCCGTGTGACGTGCGACTGAGTTCAAAACCGTGTCAGGTTCCCAATCGTGTCAACCGCCTCAACATACCTTGGACGACGAACCGATTCCGAATCCTACCAAGCCATTCCAGCAAAATTGATACCAAACCAAGAACATCCTAGAATCTAGAATCTAGAACCCATTGGACCATACAAAAGACCGTTTTGAAACGAGGCCAGACCGTGACGACGAGCTCCGAATTCACCGGACCGGTTCTTCTGCCGTCTGGACCTTCTCTGACCAGGCACATCTTCGCCTGGACAACTTTCTCGCTGTCTGCTGCCTAGCGACAGAGGCGACAAGCATGACCGGTGTCTTTCTACACACCTCTGGCTTCCTCTTTGCGGAAAAATGAAGAACCGACAACCCAAAAGCATTGAGATTTGTATAGATTTGTAGGGATCCCAAATAAGAACGATCTCTAAATCATGGGTTCCAAATCAGTGCTGTCTCAAAGCGGATCTTGGGGTGTTCCGAAAAAGGAACTCCTGCATTTGGGAGTGCGTTTCTATTTTTTCGCCGTTTCCTGAAAACCCCCCCCTCACGCGTGACACTGCCTCCTTGCCGCCCTTCTTGGCTGTCCAAGACGTGGGGCGCATGGAAAACATCGCCATGACGTTTTCGTTCCCCGTGGACTCCTGGAGATGCGGACAGAGCTCCACCAGAGCTGAAGGTTGTGGGCTCGAGTGGACAAATGCGGACAGTGACACTGCTCAGATCGCATGTGTTTGAAGAAAAAAGACCATGGAGAATGAGTCTTTCTTTCAGGGATCGGCCCC